CGTTCCCTGTGCATGCGCAGGGGACGCTCTGTGAGTTTCGGGGGGATTTAAACATTTAAACATCCCCCCCGATTCTTTTTTCAACATTTAGGATTTTTGTGCAAACGTGGGGACTGCCCCACGTGTGCACAAACCTCTCCCTCCCCCCTAAGTGCCCCCGAAGTGCGGATTTAGCTATCCGCACAGAGGGGGCCACTTCACTATTAGATATATAGATTTCTGCCTTTGTGATTTACAAGTCGTGTCAGAATACATTATGTGGAGTACATAAGGTGCCATCATAATAACTGATAATTTTTTCTTCTTGATCTTTTTCATCATGGATTCAACTGACTTAAATGTTATAAATTCCATTCAGTGTCAGTGACCATTATTTATTGGTGGAGTTGGAGATGGCAGAAGAGAGCAGATCACTGTACAATCTTGCAGGGCAATCCTACAGACCTCTTTCCACTAAAGTTCTGCACAGTGTCTTTCTTGTTGCAGCAGATTTCAGATAGGAATGGAGAAGATCTCTATGTGTATTGAGTAGGACTGACATTATGAACTCTTGCCTGATTATAGTTATACCCATTGATATGCTACCAAATGTCAATGTATACCAGTGTACTATAATAATATACTGTGCAAAATGTTGTTAAGTGAAGAATCTCACATTCAAGGAAGAAGAAGAGGAGTTGGTTCTATACCCCACCCTTCACTAGGAGTCTCAGAGTGGCTTACAATCACTTTCCCTTCCTCTCCCCACAACATATACCATGTGAGGTAGGTGGGGCTGAGAGAGCTCTGAGAAAGCTGTGACTGACCCAAGGTCACCTAGCTGGCTTCATGTGGAGGACTGGGGAATCAAACCCAATTCTCCAGATTAGAGTCCTGCCACTCTTAACCATTACACCACACTGGCTCTCAGTAGAACTTCTTTGTCCAATGGAAGGACTTAGCAGAGGACAATCACTAAATTCAACCCACTGTAGATATAAAATCATATAACAGCACTAGGTGCATTTCATCGCTGTGTTACTATCTGCTCATGTACAATGGGTACATATCATGAGCAGTTCTTATATTTTGTCCAATGCATGACCATAGTGTGCTGGTACACAGAAATGACCAGCTGGGTCAAGAAAGTCATTGTCTCAATATACTGAAAGGATTTGTTCAGAGTTTCCAGTTTCAAGGGTTTTCACACAAGTTTTACATATGTTTTTGTAGATCTCATTACAATTTAGGTGATCCCATATTGGCCATATGTGGCACACACAGCATGAGAGAATCATATGTACTTATATATCATGTACAAAAAATGATCAAAACAGCTATATATCTACTGAATGTTATCAGTAATTATAATTTATTGAGGAAAGGAGAATAACTTACTTTGATTATGTTTAGTAGCTCATCCCTGTCAATACAGCCATTTCCATCCACATCATAGAGTTTGAAGTACCACTTTAGCTTCTGTTCCACTTTCCCCTTCAAGACTAGGCTTAGAGCTGCCACATACTCCATAAAATCAATATAACCATCCTATTGAAATACAAAAAGCAGCAGATTAGATGTATGACAATGTCTTTGGTACCATATATCTTGGAATTGCTACAAGGATGTCTTCAGTATATGGGGCAGAGCAGACAATATATATTCTTGCAAAATATTAAGTGGGAATCATAAATGCCACTTATACTTACTAAAATGCATTCACCTGCAATAATCTGTTTATATAAAAAGTAATAGGTCCCATTCTCCACACACATCTATAACTTTTGTTTAATGGTTGGATTCATACAGATTTCTTCTGCTAGGTGAAGAGTCTTGTTCTAGAGGAAGCAGATTTTCTCCATAGGAAGCTTTCTCTGTTGATGCAAGACTCACTGAAGGAAGAAAGTAATTGGATCCTTAGCAGAAGAAAGTAATTGGACCCAATGTGATCTGCACAGTTGTTATATATAATGGAATATCTCAATATTTCCAGGTCAAGAATAGTACCAAGCCCTTCTGTAAGGCTGGACAGGTGTATTAACCTGTCTGTTGTTACACAAGAGATTAGAAAAAATTAACTGAAGGCAGGTCTTTCAAATCATGCATGCAATCTTTCTGCAGTAGATTCAGGCAAAGGGCTAAGGTGGTGAATCCACCGTGGCAGAACTATTTGGGCAAGGTGATCATTCATATTCTGACAGATGTATCAGAAACGGGAGAAAGGATTTCAGTGTACTCCATATCAGAGTTCCTTTGTCAGAGTACAGAAAGAGATGGAAAGCTGGAATATCACATTTGCCAATAATATTCCAGAAAGTTTTCCCTTCTCATCACCATAGTTAGAGAAAATATAAAGATAACCCTACAGTAATTCCACTGTCTCAGGTGTTCATATGAACACCTCCACATTCCAGGAGCCTTATCCATCCGAGCCCTAGTAAATGTGTTTCTATATTCTGTGACCATTAGACCATCTAGGTAAATCGGGCGAGCTATAGGAGAAGATATATAGTGGCTGAACTCATAGTACTAAGTAACCCATGATCCCATTTGATGATTGAGTATGCTCCTGTGACCACAAATCCATTGAAGATCTGGCTCATGCTACATTTTGATGTCCAAGATTTGTAACTGTTCGGAAGAAGTACCTTAGAAAAATTTTCCGGGATAAATATTTGCCTGGGAGGTCAGAGCAAAATAAATTAGTTGTATTACTGGCAGATTAAGCACAGATGGATCACAATGCAAATGGCAAAGTTTGTAGCATCAGTTACTAAGATACAGTTAAGATTATTGAAGTAAATTATATTTAGAAATATATTTATTTAATAAGATCCTTTTGGTACGATTTATTGCATCATATATGATTGTATGGATTCTATGGATCTAGCCTTATTGACAGGGTTAAGTTAATTTGTATTATTGTTTCACTGATCAATTTATGTGATAGTTTGTATTGACATTGTAATTTGGTATTAATATTGTATTTTCCTTCTTTTTGTGTTTTGTTGATTGCTATGGCTGTGCTGAAGCAATACAGTTATCTGATCTGTATACATCCAATGTAGGGTTGCCAGGTCCAACTCAGGAAATACCTGGAGATTTTGTGGGTAGTGCTTAGCTTTGTGATGTCATATCCTATGATGTCACTTCCAGGTCAAAGGACAAGTGATGTCACTTCCAAAGTTCCATTCTCTTCTGATGATGTCACTTCCAGTGGACTGCACCAAAACACCACCCCTTCCTGCGATGATACTTTCAGGGCACATCCCCCAAAATCGCCTCTTCCTCTGAAGGCACTTCCTTCTTTCAAAATTCAAATTTAAATACCCTGCCTTATATCACTTCCCACCCCCCCACCTTTTCCCCACTTTATGTTACTTGTAGGCTTTTAGGCCTCCTTCCACTGCAAAAATAACAAAAAAACTTTAAGATAAAATACTTTAATTTAAACATTTAACAAGTAGAACAAAAAACAAGCAAACAGCACATGACAAACAAGTGAACAAAACAAGATAAACTGTCATGGTTATACTGCTTTCTGCTTTTGGGAAGGAAAGTGGTATTTATCTTGACTTCTTGCTGCTTTCAGCTATTCCAGTCTTGATTTTATAAACTGGTTGTACTGGCTTGCAGGCTCTGAATATCAGGTGCCAGAAGTCAGGTAAAGCAGTATCTTTCTGTCCAAAGTCAGGGGTCCAGAGGTCAGGCAAGGCAGAGTCATTCAGTCCAAAGTCAAGGGTCCAGAAGTCAGACATCCATACCTAACAACCTCTCTTGGCTGGTTTTTATAGCCTCATGTGTAAGGGTCATGCTTGCAGCCAGCTACTCAAAAGCAATCTTGCAACTATTCATCTTTGTTATCAGCAAGCAGCTGGCATCGGGCCAGGATACATGCACTTTGCCATCTTGTCTGTAGCTCTGTTCTCAGCCTCTGTCTGTGGCACTCTAAGGGTGTGGGCATTACTGATGCGCTGGGTGTAATGTATTAATATCCAACCGCGTGCGAGGCTAGCACGCCACATGGTCATGCGAAGCGTCCGAGCTTTGCTCCGAGAGACAATGGTCCAAGCGGATCCTAGCCAGCACCAATCGAAGGGCTGGGGTCCTAGCCGGGGGCTATGGAACTCTCTGCCACTGTAAATACTCTATCACGGTGGGGTGTGTGTGTCATGGGTGGGGGTATCTTGCAAATATAAGCCGGCCTGCGAGCCAGGGTTTTTCGTCTTCTTCCAAACCACTAAATAAAGTATGAGAGCTGAAATCACTCATCGGTCTCAGTACTTTTCACTGGGAATGGCCAACTGAGTTTCACCTACTGCATCAGGACTGGAGGGTGTTGGTGGCTGTGCACCAGCTGTTGCTTGTGAATCCTGACAAGCCTGCAGTTCGTTTTCCTGCTGGTCAGCTTCTCATGTTAACTCAAGGCTGGCTCCATGGTGCTCCTCTACTCCTGACGAGACCTCTTCTCCTGAGGAGTCCCCACTATCACTGAGTCCTGGCTGACCTACAACACAGAATTCTTCACAGTGCATCCTGAAATTCAGTTTCACCTGGAGTTCTTCTTTGACAAGGCTGTCACTCAGCCAGTTTCTTTCCTTGCTTCCAAGCTGCGTCATTAAGCTGAAGATTCTCTAAGAGTAGGCATTGGATACAGGGACAGACAGTGCAAAAGAGACCAACTTCAACAGATGGCTGTCACCACTGTCTGGAATGTGTGTGAACATCTTTACCCATCTCTGGTCTATCTTCTCTTCCTGTGAGAAAATCTCTTTTTGACATTTGGGCCACCCGGGGGAGCCGTATCAACGTTGGCGCGGCTTTGAAAAGCCGCGCCTTCGAGCGCATTTTCCCCTGCCGTGTGGCCGGGGCCTCTCTAATGAAGCCCACATCACAGGACTGTCAAGCAAGAGTAGTGCCGTGTCTTTGAAAATATGTCAAAATTATACCATTTCTCAAGGTAGTCAATGTACCTTGAGAGTGTCTGGTCTGCTTCTGTTTAGAATTTTGCCCTTTGAGATACAGAGATGTTGACCCAAATGGCCGTAGCAGATCTTCCATCTTCCATGTTTCTTTCTCCTCTCCTTAATTTTTTCATGAAGGTTATCCAGGATTTTGTGGAGTTCTGTGCAGTTAACATTAGCACTTTCCGGTTTTTTCACAATGGGATTGAACAATGCCATCAGATTGTGTAGGAAGTACGTATAACACAGAGGAAGAGATTACTCCTCTTCTGGACTGAATCCTTCCCACACAATTTTTTCACATTCTTCTTCCCCACATGACAGAAAGCAGGGCTCTTTTTGTAGCAGGAACTCCTTTGCATATTAGGCGACACACCCCTAATGTAGCCAATCCTCCAAGAGCTTACAGAGCTTTTCTTACAGGGGCTACTGTAAGCTCTTGGAGGATTGGCTACATTAGGGGTGTGTCGCCTAATATGCAAAGGAGTTCCTGCTACAAAAAGAGTATGCCCTTAGTGCAAGCCCACACTGAAGAACCCATTTAACAACAGACATAAGTAACAACCACTGTGTTGGACCATGCCGAATCAGATCTCTATACGCTATATCTACAAACTCAAAGAAGGACCTCAGGAAGTCTGTACTTTTGGCTGAGCATCAGATCTTGCTGTATATTTGTGTGACAAAGAATTCTACATTAAAGCTCAGTGTTCTCTTCCCCGTTTTAAGGCAATTGTGTACATGGCATTTGCAGCCCACATCTATCAGTTGCTCGTTAAGCTGCTTAAGTTCTTGGAACACTGACTTGTGTTTCCCAAAATTCACTGCAGCATTGTCAGCAGCGTAAGATGGTACCCTTGTCCAAAGGAGACCATTGTCCTGTAGTACACACAGGACTGCTTCACTGGTCTCTTTGTTGTCATTATAGAAGTCAAGCAATCATTCTTTAATTCCCCACATTACAGAAAAGTAATGAACAGTCACAGGAAAGAATTTCCTGTTTCCCTTGTTGGAGGCATCACATCCTATTGAGAAAAAGTGTGTGGCATCCAAGTCCTCCAGCAACAAGTCTATGGATTTTGGTGCTAAAATGTTCTCCACAATGCTGGTGGCTTTTGTCCATCCATAAGACATCTTTTTTGCTATTCCAGAATGAGGCAACATTCTTGGCAGCGGTTTATTTGTGCAGTCTTGACTTGCATAACTATGATGGTGCATAATACTGTGGTACACTTCTACCACTTGAGCTGCAATAACCTGATTCACTTGTGAGGAATCTAGAAGGTGGTCACTAGCGGTGTCTGTCTATACTGTTTCTGCACCTCTTTGTGTGTCATACCTTTCACATTGGATTAGGGTACCTTTCCCCTCATAATGCACAGATATCTTGCAGTGGCAGTCAAATGCATTTTGCTGTTTCAAAGTCTCTCTTACTAAGCCAGCTTTTGAATTGGCTTTCCCTCAACCATTCATCTTTAAAAACTGCAATGGTTTTTTCCCCTTTCCTCTTCTTTTTTGCTTTGCCACTGCATGAAGGACCTTCTCCACTGCCTGATGGACCTCCTTCATTTGCCATGACTTCTC